AGTTGAGCCTGAGCATTTCAAATAAAGGGAAGAGCTAGAGCAAAGCAAACAGAGGAATGCATTAGTTCATTTTAGGGTGTTCTCTTGTGGTGCTTGTTGCGCTACTTCTTTCTGTGTTCACTTCTAATCTTCTCAAGAAGAGCAAAACGAGTGGAAGCAATACAAATGCAGAAAATGAAGGCACTGACGGAGCATCTACATATCCGTTCATCTCTCTCCAACACCAACATGAGTGGGAAAGTGATCCCTATGATGTAATTTTTGAGCTTTAGAGTCTCAGGTACTCGCAAGGGCTTCACCGATCACCTCTACCACAATTTCATGAATGTCAGAACCGTACCTATGCTTGTGTTCAGAGATGATAATAGCCTCCCTATCGACAAGGGGTCGGTTCATGGCTCCTTGATGCGATCACATGGTCTAAAGTTTGGATGCCTATAATATTTGAAAATTATGCTTCTAGCAAATGATGCATTCTCAAGCTCATTCAACTCGTGGATCCCAAAAAAAGCACAAGACATTTAATTTTGCCTATTTTTTACAAAGTGGACCTATCATGTGTGAGATACCTAAGGTTGCATTTGGTCATTTGGATTTCTAGTCAGGATAGGATTTGAAATTCAAGAGATTTGCTGTATCATATCTACTGTTTGGTGAATTATGGAAATAAAGCCGAATATTTTCATATCTTACTATGTTGATTATTTGCTATGACCGTCATATTAATGTAAATGAACCCAAGAATTGAATAAACGAAGATTATAAAAATCTCTCTCACGACACTCTTACCTATTTTCATTTTTATTTGCTTATTTTTTTTATTATTTTTGCCTCTCTTTTTTAATTATTTTTTTTATTTCTTTTTTCCCCTTCCATCATTCTCTAATAAAATTTTATTAAATAGTAAGCTATACTAATATACCTAAAATATATAATAAATATAAATACATTAGTATTGATTTATATATGAAATTTATATCTTAAGATATAAATAAAATTTGAATATATAAATAAAAATAAGAATAAATAAAAAACGAAATTATTGTTATTTTGAATTTTTTATATTAAAATTCATATATTATTTATATTCAAATATTATTTTAAATTTATTAATTTAACAAGTTTTTTATTCAACAAAATTAACTTTTATATTATGAATATTAGAAATCATATATATCTTTATCCCACCTCCCCCATGGGATAATTTTATCCGGGCTATATCCCTCTTATATCCGACTTTGTCTTATCTTGGGCAGACACCAAACATGGGATAGGATATAATTTATGCTACACCAAATTTTATCCCGACTACCAAACGTAGCCTAAAAGGATTCACCTAATGCTGATGGACCTAGTCGAAATTGAAAAAGCTTCAACTCTTTAGATTATCTTGATCTCTCTTGTGTTCACAATATGTTTCTACTTGCACTTGATTCTCTCTATTTAAAGCTTTGTTGGTGGTAGTTAGTACATAAGAGTGAATGTAAGTTTAATATAAACTGAACCTATTCGCGTATTTGTCTATTTTTTAATCTTGTTACTTTATCCGTTTGATAGAAGCATCCGTCCTTCATAAACTATTTTTGCATCTGCCAAAGTCCATTTGCAAGTATTCCATGAAAAGGTTCAAACTTATCTAAAACAACAGCCTTGATACCAATAAGCGTAAGTTTGCCCTCTTGAATCTTGCAATCAGGAATGACATTATCCATCTTCGTGATAGTGTGATGGGCCGAAAGACTACCCATTTTCTTGTATAAACTAGCAAAACAATGATACTGATGGGTACATGCTGTAAAGAAAATCAAAGTTGATTCTTTTTAATCACTAACATATATCATGTTAGAAAATTTTGTTTTTTTTTTCTCTCATTTTAGTAAGATGATGTATTTCACAAAATAAATAGCAAATGATATTTAACTTTTAAATAGACTCATGACATTGAATTTTTCTCCCCTACATTACTAGATGTCGGCTTTTTAGATTACTAACTCATTCGAATTCTTTCCTAAAGAATCTCTCGTAAAATATCAATAGTGCGTGTTTTTTCAATGGATAGCTCATATTACCAAAATAGAGATGGACCTATATAGTAAAGTTCAATCATTCCATCTATAACAAAGAATTATTTCTCAACCATCTGTACCAAAGCATTACTTCTCAAGTTTGGAAATAATTGCTCATTATTATCATACACAACTGGAAGCATGAATGTAGAAAAATAGAGCTCTTAAATTTGGAAGACTATTCTGCCAAAAGTTTCTAACAATAATTCTTTAAACTTTGGATTGTAACTAGAAAATTTTGGTGGGGCCAACATTTATTAGTGAATATGAAATTTTTTGTAAATACAGAAAAGCATCAGCAATGGGTGCCACGGAAGAGACATGGATTGTTACCAGTCTTACTTCTTAGGGTAGAGCTAACAGTCATCCAGAGACCACGAATTAGCGAACACGCCTAGAGAGAAAGAGGTAGTTGACCTTTTTGGGGACCTCTCTTTAGGGGCCATCACCTAATCTTCCACGGTCAAGCCTCTCGAGGAGCACGAACCTTCTTCAGCATTTCCAAAGGCAGAACTTAACGTACACGTTATTCTCGAGTGGACCAAGCCAACAAGTTTGACTTGACTAGAGGATGAGGTCCAAAAGAAGATAAGGCAAGGACTACAAGCATTTGCAGAAAAGCATCCTAAAAGCTTCTTTCGTTGTTCATCAATCCTTTTGAGCAGCAGAAAAGCATCTTTTCGTTTCAACTTTCCCCCTCAGATCGCCATGGGTAATGGGCAGAGTCAGGGAAATAGAAAGAGAGCAGAGGAAGAGAGCACTGAGGGAGCATCCATTCCTTCGTTCATCTCTCCAGTACCCACAGATGTAGGTTGCAGTCAATATGACGTGTTCTTAAGCTTTAGAGGCACCGATACCCGCAAGGCATTCACCGATCACCTCTATCATAGTCTGATCAAGGCAGGGACTGTACCGATTTGCGTGTTCAGGGACGATAACAGCATTCCAATTGGCGAGGAATTTGGTTCACGGATTCTCAATGCCATCGCACGGTCTAAGATTTTGATCCCCATCATCTCGGAAAATTATGCTTCGAGCAAATGGTGCCTCCGCGAGCTCATTCATATCATGGGCTGCAAGAAGAGCACGTCAAGCATAGTCTTGCCCATCTTTTACAAAGTGGACCCATCGGATGTGCAGTATCTAAAAGGAAGGTTTGGGAAGGCCTTCCATTCGCGTAAGAAGCGTTTTGATGAGAAGGATATTCAGGAAGGGCAGCGAGCACTTAGAGAAGTGAGTGACTTACATGGATGGGAATCTGAGAAAGCTGCTAACGGGTACTTCACAAAACCTTTTTCTTTTTTTGATAAGTAAGTTTTCTTCTTCATGCATAACCGATGAAATGCAGATGTATTACTTTCACTGCAAGCTCAGAAAGGATCCCCAAAATGTCCCAATAATGCCTCGAAGACTAACAAACACTAGTACTTCCCAAGATGTCCTGAAAACTAAACCAACGACAACTTAAACCAAAGATCCCGTAGGTCCCAAGAATTTTACATTTGTATCCATTCCAAAGCAAAAAAAAGAAAGAAACAACAACCCCTCCAGCCAATAGTATCAATCACTAAAGAAAGGACTCCAATGCTCGGTCTTCCAAAACTTGATCACTACCAGATAAAATAGACTTCCTCATGCCAACGGGTTGGCTCAGCTGATAAGAATTGGACACTTCACATTTACTATGTTTAGGTTTGATTTCCAATGCCAGTAACCCCCATTGGTAGGTGATCTTGGGGTAACCTCCTCTCTTTCTAAATTTTTTAAACCAACCCCAAAAAAAAAAAAAAAATTGACCTCCTATCTTTCTACTGGCGGCAACCTTAATCCTTATAACGAAAGACTCTTGATGAGCCAGGTGCACCACCTTATTTTATTCCAACAAGATCCATCTATTGGCATAAAAGGATTGGGAAAAAAAATGAAATGACCGCTACACCATCTTCCCGGCTTGTAAGTTAATTGGCCCAATGCATCTTTCATTATATACTAGTCTTTTGATGAGATTAAGTATATTCACGAAGTTATCATTGAGTTTTGTTGTTTGATAGGCATGAAGGAGAACTAGTGGAAAAAGTTGTCAAAACAATTCTAAGCGAGTTGCGGCAAGATTTTCAGCTTGATGTTACTAAGCACTTAGTTGGAATTGAGGATCGTGTGAACGAAATCAGGAATTGGGTAGACACTCCTGCTAGTGTTGCTCGAATGATTGGAATCTATGGCATGGGTGGGATTGGAAAAACAACTCTTGCCAAGGAAATCTACAACCAGTTGTCGAATGACTTTGTGCATCGTAGCTTTCTTGCTGATATTCGAGAAACAGTTCACCGCAACAATATTCCTTATCTACAAAAACAACTAATTAAGGACATACTGCGAATTGAACATCAAGTTGGGAATGTTGATGATGGAATTAGTTTGATCAAATCTAGATTCAAAGGGAAAAAGGTTCTCATTCTTCTAGATGATATAGATGACAAGAATCAACTAGATGCATTGGCTAGGGAGCGTAATTGGTTTATGGCAGGAAGCATGATCATTGTTACCACTAGAAATGAAGCCGTACTTGATCAATCTGAATTCGAGGTAGTCTACAAGTATGAATTGAATGAATTGGATGAGGAGCATGCTTTCCTTCTGTTTAACAGACACGCATTTCATACGGACCATTCTTTGAGGGATTTTGAGGGTATATCTCATGATATCATATCCACCATGGGTGGGCTTCCCTTGGCACTTCAAGTCGTAGGTTCATACTTGTATAAAAAAACGAATCAAAAAGTATGGGAAGATGTACGGAAGCAATTAAAAAACCAACCACATAGAAATGTCCAAAAGATATTGAAAATAAGTTATGATGCATTAGAAGATGGACATAAGCAGATTTTTCTCGATATTGTTTGTTTCTTTATTGGCGAAACTAGCCATTACGTCATGTACATGTGGGAGAACTGTGGGCTTTATCCAAGTCAAGGAATTGAAGAGTTGAAATTGAGGTGCTTAATTAAAATTGGAGATTATGGTAGATTTGAGATGCATGATCAACTGAGAGATCTTGGAAGGAGCATTTTTTGCCAAGGACAACTGCCTGAGAAACGTAGCGGACCATGGGACGATGACTACGAGGGAGTCACAAGAGTACTAAGAGAGTGCAGGGTAAAATATGGCACTCCTTTCTTTTTCTCTCCCTCTTAATTTAATATATTTAATCTGATCTATTTAATATTTCATCTAGAATGAATATATGCTCTTACTTTCTAAGAAAAAGAAATTCTATGTACGCATCCATTTATGTCCATGTAGATTAATTTTGACAGCTAAATGGATTATAAGTATCTCAAGGATGAAAAAGTTATATCATTTGATTCGATATCATTGACATAAATTACATCCATAAAAGTTTTATTTACAATCAATTTAAGATCCTTTAACTACAATTTTACACTATAAATCTCATTTACTAAAAGCATGTTATTGTCATATCTAGTTGAAAATGAAAATATTGATAATCTGAAGAACTACAATACTGAATGAAGATGAAGTATAAACATCATAGATCAAATAAATGAAGATTTCTTGGTTAAAAAAAAAGATAGTATGTGCCAATTATAACAACTGATAATTAAATCAAAACAGTAAGCTTGGAAAAAATTTAAAACTTATTGCATGTGCTTGCTTTCCAGTACAGCCGAATGTATTGTGGTGCTCCTATGATTTAGGATTCCAATGTTTAATATTTTTTTCTCCATTTTGATTTTGAAGATACCCATCCTTCTACTAGTTATTTCTATCTATTTTCATTCTTTTTTCCTCTTAATAGATAAGATAGCAAAAATCCACTTAAATTTTTTTGGAAAATCTTACTGTTTTTTAAGGTTTTATCCCGTTGACCTTGCTCATTTCATGGATTCGGTTAGGTGTATGATAAAGAGTGGATTTTCTTATAACAAACATTTCTACCTGCTATAAGTTGTTTTATATTATTTATATTGTTTTGGGAGAATGCCTCTTTTGGGCCAAAAACCATTAGACTAACTTGACTATTTATAAATAATAAAGAAAAGAAAACATGACTAAGTAGAGGAAATGTCGTGCTTATTATTATATCCACACCTTTGTATTCATTATATATGATTTTCAGCATGAAGCCAATTTTTTCAATTATGTTTTATCGTTTACTTAAATTATCAATGTTCGTGTCATTTTATTATTAAATATTGTCATAGGCTCATGGCTGATCAATGGCAAGGAATTAACCCTAGCAATTAACCAAGAGATGTTGAGCAAAGGAAACGGCTTTATATTCTTGATATAATTTGAAATAGTTTGTTCCTATGATTCAATATCACACTCTTTTGTTGATCCAATAAATTCTTAACATTAGCAAAGAGAGCACACAATACAGGTGTTTGAAAAATGAAAAAAAGTGTCAAATCTGTTTTGAACAGAAAAAATGTTGAAAGATGATAATTAGTTTAGGAAAAAAAATTCAATGATTGTAAGATGTGAGAGATTTTGATTTAACTTTGGAAAATGAAGTATTTATGGAACAAATTTCCAATTGTCTTGACTATTTAAAATATGATTCTGTCTATTTTGTTATATCCTATTTCTTCGGTTAATTTTGGTGAAATATAAGCGAATTGCGTGGAAACTTTTGATGAAAGTCTGAGGTTTGAAGTCCCCTTTCCATATAATAGATTTTTTTAATATAATATACCTTATAGATTGATGTACAATCGAAAATTGTGGAAGATGGTGTGGGATGATGATTACAACAATTTAGTGACTTTTTCTACTAACAAATTTAAGAGAAATTATACCCGTTGCAGGTTTTTCACTATTTAAAGTAGAGATAACGACAAACGAGTCGAACTGTAAAAGTGAATCAAACCAACAAAAAAAAACAATTCTAACCAATTAAACTTTTGGGGGTAAAATATAGGTATTATTATTAAAGTCAATCAAAGCCATATGCGATTTTTTTCACCATCTTCAACTAATTAAATGATCTGTTTTAGCCGGAAACTTAAATAGTATGTTTTGACTTATAAGATGCAAAAAGAAACGGTGCCATTCTTATGCAAATGGACGTATGTGTCTTCACTTTTTTTTTGGTAAATAAAAATAAGTAGAGTTATCCAAAAACTTTCATATGGCAGGCTTTGCTTAAAGATATTGCTTAAAATAAAAAGTGCATTGCTAACCAATGTTGCCACGTCCCTTTTTAAACATACTTGACAAAAAAAATTTCAGTTTTCAAAGAAATGATTAAACACTTGACAAAAATAGTTAATGAAATTAAAACTGGGTCCTTCCTTAGCTACTTAAGGGTGGCTCACTAGAAATCTTTGACAAATTTTTTTGAAAAATTATACACAAGTCATATGAAAATTTACAAGTAAATATTTACATGTTGTAAAATGGTTTCATATATTTCGTCTTAAATAAAATTCAAAGTGCACGCGCCATATAATTTGAAAAAAAAAAAAGAACAAATGATAAAACATTGAGGTGCATTTGCCTTAGCTATTCTAAAGCAATAACTATTTTAAAAAATTAAATGCTAAATCACATGTCTGTATTTATGTACGGGAGTGATAAGAAGATAACAAATTGTGCATATCCAAGATTTTAAAAAATAAACCAAAAATTAGAAAGTTAAAAAGTCAATTTAGAGACTCTCAATGGATTGATTGGATATAACTGGGAATTGAAAAGGATTCCGTCATTTTTTTGTCTCCTCGAATTCCTTCCGCCATATCCAGACGTCCTCAGATGAACCATTTGAAAAAACTTGCAGAACCCCTGGTTCCGTGACTGGATGCAGGCAACTTCAAGCGGAGACTCCAACGAACTCCTTTCTGAAATAAGATGGCTTCAGTGGCAGATCATGGGAAGCAAAGCGCCTCTTCCGACGACCAATTTGCATCTACCGAAATTATCGGTGCTGGATTTATCACATAGCTGGGGCATCACAGAGGATTGGGAAGGATGGAGTTTGATCACGGTAAGATGGGGGAAAAGAAGAGACATCCTCTCTCTCTGATTTTTTTTTTTGTTTTGTTTTTGTTTAGCCGATCCCCCACTCATTCTTTTGATAGCTTTATTCTCCTCTTTTTTGTGTAGACGGCAAAGCGACTACAAGTTCTCGACCTTGGATGGTGTGAAGGTTTAAGATGTACTCCTGATCTCTCGGCTTTCACGCAGTTGAAGATCCTCCCCTTGAGCGGTTGTTTCGACCTGGAGCATCTCCACCCTTCTGTTGGCAAACTCAAGAGCCTCGTTTCCTTGGACTTGAGTGAATGTCGACGTCTCAAGGAGCTACCAGAGGAAGTGGGCGAATTAAAAGGTTTAGAAGAACTTGTATTAGATGACTCTGGTATTACAGCGATCCCTACGTCTATTGGTTCTCTGAGGAAGCTGAAGAAACTGCATGCCGGAGGTTGTAGGTCACTGAGAGAAATCCCTAGCTCAATTGGAGATTTACGGAATTTGCAACATCTTGACTTGAGTGGTTTTGGGATTGAAAAGCTTCCCAGTGCTATTGGGGATCTTTCTTCTCTCCAGCGCCTTGAGCTATGGGGTGACAAGCTCCGGTCGCTGCCACAGCTTTCTAGCCTAATCCACCTAGAAAAACTCCGTCTTCGGGAATGCCATCTACTTGAAGACATCCCCGAGCTTCCCTCAAGGCTCTTGGAACTTTATATTAAGGGGTGTGGTAAGCTGATATTGCTTAAGCTCGACGGATTGAAGAACTTGGAAGAGCTTTCAATTGTAAAGTGCGGTTCCATTGAAAGATTGGACCTTTCACAATTAAATGCAAACGATTATTCTCTGTGGATTGCAATAACCTAGTTGAAATTCAGGGCCATGATAATCTAGAGTTCTTGGAGGACATAGTTATATATAACTCCAATTCCATTGAAAGGCTGCTTTGTCCAGAATCACGGTGTTTGAAGAAATTAGAGGCTGTCAGGTGCGACAATCTAGTTGAAATTCAAGGTCTTGACGGTGCGAAGTTCTTAGAAAGGTTGGATTTTACAGGATGCGAATCAATGGAGATGTTGCAAAATTTGACGAGATGTCAGAAGTTGCGATCTCTAATTGTTCGAGACTGCAAGAAACTTACTCAGCTTCAAGGACTTGAAAAGTTGGATTTGATTGATTTGGATATTTCTGGTTGCGACTCATTGGAAGCAATACCGAAATTATCTGGAACGCGCATCATTAGAAATTATGAACGAGAGCTGTCTTATTCTCTATGGAAACATTATCATACAATGATAATGATGTGAGGAATCTTATATTACCACGGTGAGACCAGTCGTGTTTCTTCAATAGAGGTAAATAAGCAGTGAACAATCATTTTTCTTCTGAGATGCATGACCTACTTTATCTTCTTTTGACAAGAATGTTTTCCATGACAGGTTCTGTACTTTCTTAAATTGCTAGTCTTACATAATTGAAGGAGTGGGGGAGTTGCTCATAGAAGCTAACATGATGCTTCAACCAAGATCAAAATGTAGGCCCAAATGTCAATAGAAGGCATAGTAAGATTCTTCATCCTTGAATGGCTAGCGTGAGCGAATAGAGTAATACTTTTCTCGAAGCTCTATATTTTAAGAATGATTTGCTCCATACTGGGTATCTATCTGATTGATTTTGGAAACTTCGGATTTGCCTACATATTACGTTATAGCAATGTTTTTCATTTATCCTTCTGTTGGCAGCTTTTGTAGACTGCAAACAGATTAGCGGCTTGTGAGGCAAGGATGAAAATATCAAACATAGGTAAACAAGAATTCCCTTGTGATTTACAATTTCCCCCTCGGTAAACCTGGGATTTGAAATTTTGACCTAGAGGCCGATGATCTTTTGCTACTCAATATTGTAAACTTGGCCCAGAATTTCCCTGTCCAAAATTCATATTTTCTTTGAAAAAACCCTCGGCCATTTTGAGTTCCTTTGTGAGTTCTCTTGTGTCAAATTTAACTAATGGCAGATGTCCTGTTTGGGACAAACACCTTTTGGTTTTTTGTGATGAACGAAAACCCTGTTAAGTTTCTTAATGTTAAGAGCATCAATTCCCAGTAAGTGTGATGAACTGAGCTAAAATAAAATATAAGGTTCAAGTGTTTCTGGTTGCTGATAAAAAAATGTTTCTGTCATAAATGAATGGACACCCCCTTAACATTACGAGTAGTCAAATTGTTGTTTTGAAATATTATCAAGCAAGGTAAACTGGTGCTGCTTCTATGACAGGTTTGGTTGGTCTATGTAATTATCAAGGCTTACTTTGGGACTTCTATTCAATCAGCTCTATTGATGACCTTTTGTGCAATTGGTCAATATTTTGCCCATATGTGAAACAAGCTGGAGTGAGGAGCTCAAGAATTTGCTAATTTGTTTACATCCCATTTGATCCTATTGTTGTCATGGAATTGTTTTATCACATGATTGATTTGGGTGTGCTCACTTGGCTGAGGAACTTTAAATTCCAGACCTGAGACCGATCAAAATGAAGAAAAGGGATTTTGCAGTGGAAGCATCAGCAACAGTTGAGGACCATCTTGCGTGCCAAACTTGAAGAGGCTTGTGGACCAACTGGAGTGTCCTGAGGAAGTTTTGATGCTTGTGAAAATCCAAAACACTTGATCTAGCCTCAACAGCACATACCTGAATGATGGCGAATGTAGCTTTTTAAATTGAATATGCTTTTTGTATGCTCATTAGGTTCTATCTCTTTGTTAATCAAATGAGTGGGTCCGGAACTTTTTGTATGTTACCCTGATGTAGAGTTGTTTGATGCGATTGCATTCTAATGATATCACACCTGAACTCGATGAGGCTCTGCAGAGGGAGGTAGGCACTCCTAAGCTCCTCCATTTCTATCAGTTTATTTGGGTGATACTATCCTTTGAATGTTGTCATATAGATTTCTGATTTGATAAGCTCAGTTTTCATGTATGCGGTATTGAATTCGTAAAGTTGAAATTGACCTCATTAATTATCCCGAAATGTTGATTTTGCTGATTGGATATTGCCAATGACCAAGTAACAAATACATCTTTCTGTTATGTAGTTTAGGCACTTCACATTTTCAGCATAATTTTATTAACATCAATTCTGTTCCTGAACACAAACGAGGAAAGTGTTGTTGCTAATTGCTTACTTCTTTAAGCCTATTGTTTTCTCTTTCATTGGCCAGCTAATCGAGTCTCTGTTTATTGTGGTCCAACTGCGATTGGTGTAAATGATGTTTATGCATTTGTACCTTATCTTCATTGGGTTAATTGTGATGTTGTGATCTCGGATATTTTCATTTATTGATAAAAAATTGAATAAAAATAAATAAAGAAAAAATTAAAAATTAGAATTAAATATATAAATAAAATGTAAATAAAAAAAGTTTTATTTAAATAAAATTTATTATTTTTTTTAATTTAATATTTATTTGATATATAATTGTATTATATTAAAACGTTTATGTATAATTAAATTTAATAAAGAAAAATAAATGTTAAATAATAAACAAGAAAAATTAATAAATTTTTTTGAATTTAATAAATTATTAATTGTGAAATATTCATAAAAACCGTTTATGAAAATGGAATTTATGAATTTTAAAAAGATATTGGTGGTGCGGCGGGGCGTGCTGCGCCCCCGCCACGATGAGCGGGGGGGGGGCCCACACCCGCTTTTAATTGTGTTTTTTTAATTAGTTAGTGCTAACTTCCTTGTGCAGAATCAAGGTGCATTTCATGAAACTCAGAGAAAGTCCCCAAACACCACGGGATGGAGATACGAGCATGAATGAGCTATGTCATTATGGAAAGGCATTCCGAAGTTCTTTGCTATTGGCGTTTATCATGTGCTCCATGTTGTTAATACTCTTCAAATGATTCTTGATGTAAAGCAACCTCTTCTCATGTGGTGTTTTTGTCCTTTGCAAGCTTTGACATCGTGCTATTCTTTAGCAAAGGCCGAATCTCAAAGTGCTTGCAGGAAGACCACATGTGCAGGTGGTTCTGTATGTAAAGTTTAAGTATTAAATCAAATTTGTCAACAAGATAACCGTGTAGATGTCCACTTCAAGCTACAATTTTGCGACCGGAAGAGAGACTATTTTCGTGGAAAAAGCGAATGCCGTGGAATTAGCAAATATCTGTCAATTGCAGCCAAGAGTTTCAATGAAAAGGTTTTCAAGAAGACAGTAGTTTCTCATTAAGAAGAATTTTGAACAGGAAATAAAAGCGTTCATTGGTGTAAAATCATCTCTCTAGTCTGGTTACGTCGAAAAATTCATGTAGGCATTTTGCAATCACTTTGATTGTATAATCTTGAGCTTGATTTATTTACGCATGAATCTAAATGCAGAAGAGACACATCCGTGTATATTTTCACACCTGAAATCTATTTTTCTCTGGCATTGGCTACGGTTGAAGACTATTGAAAAATGTGGACAAGTTTTGGAAGGGTGAAAAGAGCCCTTCCCAAAATTTACTCATTTGGTTTGAACAAAAAACTTTAAAGGGTCATCTAATTGGTTAATAATCAGACTCTACTACGCTAAATTGTGTACTCGAACTTTGACTCAATGGAGCTCAAGACAAGGCCAAGTAGCTTGTAAAGCCAAGTTCGATTCTACAAGTACTAACACATATATAATGTAGTTCGTGTTTAAGATACTTGCTAAACGTACTTAACATAAAATAATTTAATTTTCAGAATATTGGTCGAACATTACATGAGAAAAGTCGTAAATAAAGTCAATGTATCGACTCTATGCTTTATTTACTTAGTTGCTTAATTAGTGTCTATGCAAATTAATCTAAAGTGCAATAGCTTTGTGTTTGGCTACTTATAGAACATTAGTTACAACCTTATCGGCTGAACTGATTTGAAGTTGGAAAACCATGAATCGACCGGATAACTGGATGAATGTGTTAAACCAAGTGAACCGATTCGGTTCTATTCATGGGTTTTAAAACTTTTCTTTCTTCTGCTTCAATTTTGTGCCAGCGATTTGCTTCGAGCTTGTTTTTGAAAGTTCCATCACATTTTACATCAAGATCCTAGAAAATTACAGCCATTTGAACAACTACGTAAGTTTTGATAGGATTAAAGAGGGTTTGCTTTGGGGCGTTTCGGTTTGCCTCATTTTTGTAACTCCGAGTTCGACGGGATGGTACTAGAAATATTGTAACTGTCCTCAAATCAGAATGGAACTATAGAAGTCCTTTCGGTTCATTTAACACCGGCGAATTGCATGTTAGAATATATAGCTTCTGTAGTCTGCCCTATGATGAATCCTATAATAAAGAGGAATCAAAATAGACAAATTGAGGAAATTAGTGGGTTAAATAACCCCAAAAAAGGAGACTTAAACAAAATTTGGCCAAAAAAAGTTCTAAACAATGAAATCGACCACGAAATAGATCTAAACGTCAAATCCTACAATGAAAGCAGCCTTCTTACTTTGCAATCAGCATCATGTTATTGAGAAAAAAGCTTATTGAAAAGAGGAGAAATTAGCAGGTCGGACAATTTTTACTTTGCATGGGAATGCACGCATTCATGCCAAAACATGTTGCAGATATTCAAAAGGTAAGGAAATTCAAAAAAGAGAAACAAACTTTCGGCAAATATAAATATATATGAATATCACATAAGAGTCTTATCATTTTCCTATGTTTTGATGGCTGGAGATCGATGAATGAAACAATGATTCGAACGAACATTATACTGGAAAGATTGAACATCGTGGCACTCTCCTGAATACTTGATTACCATTAGATACATATTAAGATGATAACCCAATAAACAAAACAAGCCTCTCCGTTTCCTTTGACTGATTTCATCCGTTTCTCTTGATGACGATGAGCATGATATTCCGTAATTTCTACATATTAAAATCAACGGACGAAGCCTGAGCATTCGCGCTTCAACCATCGGAACCCTTGTTTGAAAGAAGCCTTGAACTTGCCCTCGACCGAATAAAGCTTGTATCTGGCCACCCTCCTCTTCCTCTTCTTCTCCGGGTCATTCCACCACAACGGTTTTATCGACTTCTAAAACATACCAAATAGGCAAAGGCCAGAGTCCATTTCGACTTACAACATCAGGTTTGTCTATTCCCATCCCAAAGGCAATGGTAGCACATACAATCTGGAACTCTCCAGTATGCCATTTCTTTTGAACAGCTACTCTTTGACGGGCTACTAATCCAGCATGATAGTACACCGTCTTTATACGGCACTTCTCATTCAAGTATTTTGCGACGTCAACACATTCACTCTTCGTAAGGCAATATACTATGCCACAAAAATCAGCAAAACAATTCTTTAGCAGCTCTCCAAGCTGCTTCAGTGGTTCCTTGGTCTTAGCTATGACCTCATATTTTAGATTTGGTCTGTCAAAGCTTGTCTCAAGAACAAGAGCATGGGGAACCCCAAGAGTTTTTAGGATATCCTGCAATGAATGCATAATTCAATCAGAACAAACAGATTATTTCGACATAATCAGGAGGTTAATGTGTAAGTTTAGTGCCTCACGAACTGAGTGGGAGTTGCAGTTAAGGCCATCACTGGAACATATGGAAAGTTTGCTTGAGACGTCCAAGTCCCCTATAATCTGGTCGAAAATCATGTCCCCATTGATTACAATAATGACAACCAAGAAAGTGACAATCAATGAGCTTTACTTGTTAATCAGTCAAATGTACAAGAAAAGCTCAAACCAGCAGTATGTTCCTTTGTCAAGTTGTTAAGATCTCGTAAGAAACACAATCAATGACCACATGGGTGAAACTTTGTCTTTCTCAAGTTATTAACATATAATATAACCGTTAATAGAATAAATAGGGACTCAAGAACCAGCTTAAGATACTGAGTATCATGCCAAACATAGACAGGAGATGGGGTCCTTATCCAAGCTTATCTCGGTTCCAATTACTTTAGGAAGTAAGCTTCATTGGAGCTTATTTAAGTTGTGTCTTCTTTACTCAATATAATGAATGATGTACCACTAAGTGTTCCCAAATGACGGAACCTAGATCTTTTCCAGAGTTTAAACAAGGAACAATGCATTCTGTTATATTAGAACTTCACAGGGGTCTCGGCTTCAGAAGGTCTAGTGTAACACTGAAAATTTAACTATGCTAGAAACACTGAAATGCAGAAAAGTTTGGAAAAGAGTTTAAGTTAGCATATATAGAAGTTTACTTGCTTATATTTATCACGAACAATGACAATAGTTTTGCAGTTGCAACATTAAAAATAATTATTCCTTTTAAAGTAATTCTAGTATGATCTTTCTTCATGTACGAGGCATGCCAAAGATTACGCATACCTCATGCAATTTGCCTCATCAACAACAAAACCAGCTAGTTGTGGTCGCAATGCATGATGGTTGGATATAAAAAATTTACGAAGAACCCTTTCGAAAAAGTTATGGTGCATCAAAAACAATACCTTTCTATGCAAGCATTTCAATATCTCGAGAAATGACGGGTTTCGCACAGTCCTCTCAGGAGTTACATACAATAGCTTGCACGAGGGTTTATCTTTTCGGAAAAGGCAGGCAAAGCAGAAGTGGAGATTAATAATTTGACAGTCACAACACTCAGAATAAAACTTTTAGAAGTCCAATATAGCTAAACCTTGCGTTAGTTCTTGGAGGACATCTGCTGCTTGGGCAGCAGTTTGTGGAGAGTTCAAGAAGGTAGATGGTATTCCGTACTTGAGGGATAGAGTAATTATTTGATCCTGGATGAGAGATAGCAAGGGAGATATAACAACTGTGACACCTTGTTTAAGAGTTACTAGAAGCAGAAACGAAGGGTAAAATCATCAGAAGAGCACATGAAGAAAGGAAGGGACAAGGGAATTATAATTTCTTTCGCCATCAGCTGATCAGGAAGGACCAGTAGTCACTACTTGTCTTATAATTACTTTCAGCTAGAAACATATATCAACTACTTCAAGACTGAACAGAAAACACTTCAAAAAAATTCAACTTAAAAATTTTAATTAATATCTTCGTCCTTAATTCAGTAAATCAAATATTTTGCATGCTACCAAGATCCATTGTATATTAAAGGACATTAATTTCAAACTAATTATGGGAAAAAGAAATCATAGATCATCACCCCTTGTGAGATAATGGCATAGCCAATAACTGCGAGGAAATATAGAAATCTAGAACCCTTATTTGGTGGGTGTACTTTGGAAATTTATTCCTCTTTGACTTAGTAACCCATTTGAACTGGACCTAAATCATGACTGACAACAACACTTACATGCATAAACACGATGAATTTTCTGGTAAGTGATTAGAAGGTCCTAGAAGCATACTACAAACTTTAAATTCCAAAAATTACAGAACAGATAGAGATGTGCAAAGGCAGAATGAGAATGTACTGTATTTCCTTCTTTTCTAATTTTGTCTGATGCCATACATTGGAACCCATGGTTATGTACCTGAATCACTTCCTGTCGTTAATCTTCATTTGAAAAATGTTTCCTTCCCTAAGTTCACGACCTTCTCAACAGTGCTAAACAAAGCAGATTAGAAGATCATGTTGAAGCTTAAATTTTGACATACAGGTCTACCCCTTTACATTTAGTTGGTGGAACCATTGAGCAAAGTGCACCGGCTTGTGCTCTAAACATTGTCTCCACACATACTTCTACATACGATCATTACACAAATGAAATAACGTTAACATTCACTAACCTGGCAACATAAACGTGTATCACCTCCAGTGGGAATGAGAATGAAGCAATCTTGCTTGGCTACAGAATCTTTACAAGGCTGATGCTGCATTGGTTAAAATGCCTTGTTTCCGAATATTACAACATTTGCCAATTCTATGTCATCCAAGGCTAGCAATTCCTCATTACTCAGAGTCCCTTGTTTGCATGTCAAA